GGGGCCGCTTCTGGCTCTGGACCGACTCGCGGGTGGGAGTGCGGGTTTTGGGCTCGTTTGGCTGGGAAACCGGAAAATTGTAGCAAAAACCAACCATATGTAACGTGGAGCAGGGGGGCCGCGGCGCGACACCGCCGTGGACGTGGACAGCAGCGCGCCCGGGCCCAGCTCGTGCCGCGTGCGCCTGAACCCGCCCATGGAAGCACACACGTATGTACATATACACACAGGTACACATATATGTACACGCACCCATGTACAGATATACACACACGTGCATATACACACATCTGTATGTGTGTGTGTGTGTACACACACACACACCTGTATATAAAACACACATCTATGCACACATACATATATAAGCACACACATGCACACATACATATAAATATATATATACACATACACCTGTATAGAAACACACACACAAATACGTGTGTGTGTATATATATACATACACACACAGACATATACATGTATGTGTATGTTTATATATGCACACATACATATAAATATATATATACACACACACCCCTGTATAGAAACACACACACATATACATGTGTGTGTGTGTGTATATATATGTATATACACGCAGACATATACATGTGTATATGACAGACACACACACAGATGTATACGTGTGTGTATATGTCTATATATGCACACACACACACGTGTGTGTGTACCCCCCCACACACACATTCTGCATCCCAAGCAACTGTGGCACTTTGCAGACAGCGAAAAGCTGGTGTTGCTCAGAGGATTTCAGCTGGACATCACATGGTGTTGGGATAGACAACAAGCAGAAGGGGGAAGTTTACCGAGTTATTAAGTTACTTATTGGTCACGTTGGGTTTTTTGTTTCCTTTTTATTAAGTGGTTGTGAAAGTGAACTCCAGCTGGCCTGTTTCGATAGGCGCAGACTCGTGCGTTTGAACCTTTCCACCTTTGTTCTGCTGTTCGCAGGGAAGCACCAAGCGCTGCAATGCGATAGTGAAGTATTTTGACCTTATGGAAATCGAGTGTCTGGGAAGGACCCCCCTCCAGAGCCGGGGTCACCCTCGGGCTCGCTGCCTGCTGCCCTTTCCAACATCAGTGCTGAAGGAGTCTAACCCTGGGGTCCTAGGATCATCAGCTGAACTTCAGGAGGTCTATATTCATACTTCTCTGTAACAATTTGCGCACTTTTCCTCCAATAGGAAGTAAGGAGAAGGAAATCAAGTGCTGTTATGGGGGTAATGACCCCTATCGTCAGGGTGCCAAACTTGCAGAGTTTCTAGG